CGAAAGATTGCGTTGAAGGAAGAGAACACAACTATGCGGAGTGTTGTGTTCTCTTCCTTCAACGCAATCTCCCCCTTTGCAGCCCCCAGTTGGGCCTTCTCCAGAGACATTTGCATGGAGAGAAGGGCCTGCGAACAAAGAAAAATAGAGTTAGTCAATCGAAAGGAGCTAATGATAGTCCTCATCGAGGACTGTTCGCTCACCTTGCTTAAATGCTGGACCGATGTGGACATCAGGTCGACGTCATTGAAATTTGTGAACTGCTCGAATGATTCCGAAAGTCCACATTCCAGTAAGGTATAAACCACTGATTGCAGGTACTTCGGAAGGTTCCCTAGCAAGTCCAGCACTGGGGTACCCTTCTTCGCGCCTTCAACAGCGGCTGCGTCGACCATCGGTTCCTTGGCCGACCTCCTTCCAACATCTTTTTTCTACCTCTTTGGCTGCTCGCCCTCAGATTCGGTCTCTAACTCCTCGACCTGAATCTGCCTCCTCTTCTTTCGTTGTGCCATCGTTTTCATCCTCGGGCGAGCAAGCGACGGCTGGGAGGCCTTCGCGGTTTGCGTTGGCGTACCTTTCGTAGGTGGCTACTGAGGAGCTCCGGGAGGTCGCGCTGGTTGGCCTAAGGTCGCGCCCTTGGTCGAAGGGGCAGTTTGAGCAGCTTCGGCGGCCTTAGCTTTCTTTGTCCGAGGAAAATTAAGAGGCCTTCGTCGGGGCTGCTCTGACTCCTTCGGTGGCATGGTTACTACATACAAGAAAACGTTAGTGAAAGCATTCTATTCCGGGACCAGGGAAAGAGTCAGTTAGCAGAGCTTACTCGGTGAAGGCTCTAACGAAGCACGTGCATTGAAGAAACCGTATTTTCGCAAGTTCTCAGTCGTCACAAGTTTCTTCGCGTCGTGCTTGTCCTCGGGTAGGGAACCGAAGTGCAAGATTTTTCTCTTCGTGGAGTAGCCCTATTTCGGTCGTCTTGTTAACTGACAAAAAGAAAAAATCAGGTCGTTAGAACGAACAAACTTCAAATGCAATGAGTCCGCCAAAATAAAGCAAAAATGCAATCAAAGAGGAAGAAGCATACTCGGTTCCTGGAAGCGGCAATGGCCATTGTAACGAAAGAAGAAAAACTTCGTTTCGTAGGCCCCCGCGTTGCTGGGATAACTGTGTATCCCGTCGGCAATGGTTGGTCGCCTGGACAAGTAATACGAGTCCTTGTCCTTGCTCTTCTTCAGAAAATATGAGCAGCCAAGCTCCAAGGCTGTCAGCTCGCCCAACCCGTCTTCCTGGCACGCGATGTACATTGCGACAGCAATGACGTACGCGTTTGGGGTCAGCTGCATCGGCGTAACCCTGAAGTGGTCCAGGAGCGACCTGATGAAAGGGTGCAAGGGCATAAGTCCTCCACCCTTGATAATCTCCTCGGAGATCGCGGCCAGGCCGCTTGAAGGGTATCACGACGAATGCGTCAGGTCGTGGAAAACGTCCACCTCGATACCGTATTGGTTTATTACTCTCTCGAGCTCTTCCTCGGTAAGTACCGAGAAAACCTCAAGAGGGATGCTAGGGGCACCTTGCGGGGATGAGCTGGTTCCCTACTTGGATCTGGTCGCTGAGGGGTCCATTTTGCCAGTCTGTAAAAGCGACAAGCAGAAGGCTTATTTGGCTTCTGTACGCTATTTCGTACGATGACGTGGGAGGAAATAAACCCCCAAAATCCTAAAGAAAACCCTAACAGCATGGTTCAAGCCGCCATTCATGGCTCGAACCCGGCGCGAACACCTAGTCTCCGATGGGTTATCAAAAGACTGATGCCACAAACTCGTGGGGATAACGAAATAGTAACAAAAAAGTTCTTACCTCTCGGAGTATGACGACTATTTCTGCCTCAAATGCCGAAAAAACGCAAGTTTGGAAGACAAAGGTTCTTGGTTTCTAAAAGTCTTTTGTTCTCTATGAAAAAGGCTCTGGTGACATTGCCTGAGAATGATTTGAGGTTTTTATAGCGTGTGAATCGGCGTTTGTATTTCCCGGAATCGAAATGACGTCTGGGCGGCAAAGATTTCTTGCCATTGATCTCAACCACGTGTCATTCATCAGCAAAGGAGGGTGAACGAAACGACTGGATAAAGTCAAACTTTCACCATTCCAGTTGAAAAGCTCAAACGACGGCCATCCCTCTTCCAGAGCATTAATTGCGTTTCAAATCTTCATTTAATGCTCTGATAGGGGGCATCGTTCCAATGTACAACGCATTCAATGCTCTGGTAAAGTGCGTTGTTCCAGCATGCAACGCATTAAATGCGATTGGTTGGCATTTATCATGCACAAGACACACCTGTCAGCGCAGGGATTGTTTCATTAAATGTATTCCTCTCATCAAAACAATGCGTGACGTCAGACGAGTCCAGGTCGCTCCCCCTCTGCAAACGATGAATATGTGAGGTCGCGTTCACAGAAATGTCACTCCAATCTATTTTCATACAGACTAGAATTTCCAGAAATCATCCCGTTGTGGCATGACCTATAGTTTCTAAGGTTCAATCCTCAAACCTTAAAAACTAGGGGACTTCTATTATGCCCAAAAAATACGAGGGGTGGCGTCAGGTCCACTCAGCCCACAAAGGTCAGACCATTGGGACAACCACCGTCTGTTCCCGTCAGGATAGTGGGTGCGCGTCAGGCTAACCAGGAGCTGTGGTGCTCCCACGTGTCCAAGGCCTGCTCTAAATCACGCAAATCTCTCTGGAAGGTGGGCAATGTGACATAAAGAAGGATTTGCACAGATAATCCCACCAACTTAAAGATTTAGTGATCATTGCCTCACCACATCTCACTATAAATTGGAAGCTCATCTCTCATTAAGCGGGAATTTTGGCACATTTTACGCTCAATTAACTATCCTCTCTTCCCTAGAATTCTTAGTATTCAATATCTTGTAATATTATTATAAAGTCAGACCGCTAAAAGCGACCTGACCCTTGTCATCAATATAAGTATCAGTGGACGTAGGATTTGTTACCTTAGCATCCGAACCACTTTAAAAACTATTCTCATTGCATTTATTATCCCTTGATCCATTATATTCATGTGTGTCTTCTGGGCCACCATAATATTTTACACATGCATTTCGTTGGTACAAAAATCGCGCATTAACAATATCCAAAAGACTCAAAGTAGTAAAAGTATAATAATCAGCTAAGCAACTTCCTTGAACTTTCCATAAACTTCCCACCTGACTCTTAAATAAATTCATTTCTCTCGGTCTATGATTAAAGGTCGGCAGCCTTTTGTTTGGATCCTCTCCTTGTTCTCCTTTGACAAAGGATAATAATTACTAATTAATTAGAACTTAAAAGTCAAACAAGAAACATAGATTCGCCCTGGGTGCAGACATCTTAAAATCTTTTTAATATGTGAGCCAAAGGTGACCGGTCCGTTGTTGGTTTTTGATTTTGTATTTTGTAAAGGTACACCTTTGGTCCGCATTGGAGATTAACTAATACAAGAAAATTCTTAGGTGTGAACATTTTGAAATTTTTAATGTTTGGACTGAGCATTAAATCTTTGTCTTTGATTAAGAGGTTTGTAATGTTAGCAATCAGGCATACCTTTTGTTATGCCTAAAAAATACAAGGGCTGACGTCAGGTTCATCTAGCCCACAAAAGTCAGATCATTGAAACAACCGCCGCATGCGTCCGTCAGGATAGTGGGTGCGCGTCAGGCTAGTCAAGAGCTAAGGTGCTCCCACGTGTCCAATCCCTGCTCTAAATCGCGCAAATCACTCTAGAAGGTGGGCAATGTGACATAAAGAAGGATTTGCACGGATAATCCCACCAACTTACAGATTTAGTGATCATTACCTCAAGGCGTCCCACTATAAAATGGGAGCTCCTCTCTCATTAAAGGGGATTGGCATATTTTACGCTTGATTAATTACTCTCTCTTTCCTAGAATTCTCAGCATTAGATACCTTGTAACATTATTGTAAAGTCAGTCAGCTAAAAGCGACTTGACCTCTATCATTTATATAAGCATCAATGGACGTAGGACTTGCTACCTTAGCATCCGAACCACTTTAAAAACTATCCCCATTGCATTTACTATCTCTTTGTCCATAACATTCACGTGTGTCTTCTGGGTCCGCACAGCGTTTCACACTTGCATTTCGTTGGTGCAAAAACGCGCATCAACAATTTGGCGCTAGAAGAAGGGCCTGATTTAGTGTTCATCCTTCATCAGGAGAATCTCCAACTTACCGGTCTTACAGCAACAAATGGCCCGCCAACCAGAGTATGAGCAAACCAACCAGGACATAGAAGGTCCCCTTCAAGTTCAAGGGGATGCTTCTTCCAAAAAGCCTTCAGCCCCGTAAAATGCTGTGGGAGATATCCCGTCAAGTTCACAGCTTGACCCTGCTATAAGAAGCTACCTGGAGAGGTTTGAAAATACTCTCCAGACGGTCAACCAAAGGTTGGACTGTTTGGACCAAGGCACACCATCTAAGTCAGCTGCGGCGGTACAACCTCCAAAAACGCCTGCAGGTCATGCGAAAGCACGTCAAAGGGAGATAGCCCATGCCGCGAGCACTGTAGCGCGTAGACGAAAGGGTAAGCAAGTGGCAAAAAGCAAGCCCACTGGCTCCAAAGGGCCAGCCAACACTGACCACGTCCCAAGCAGAATACTAGTCTCGTTGAGGCTTGGTGGAAAGACGCAGCCCGAGCTGTCCCATGCCACGTTGCAGGTGCATACCCATAAATGTGCTAGATGGGGCGATTCTTATCACCGCCAGTAAAGCAATCCTGATCGTCACTGTGCGAGAGGGTCCCACACTTCGCGGGGCAGTTCTTACCACCGTGAAGGTCGTGAAAGTACCCCGCACCTTTCATCGCCATCACACGCCTCTAGTCAGCGTGTGTCGAGAGTGGCTGGAACCGCCAGCTGAGGCAAAGGGGAACCCGACCTCCGGACGTTCCTCAACTGTAACCGCGAGAATCAAACTCGCATGGGTGAAAGTAACCCCCAAGCAGCTACATTGTCACAGATTGAGGAGCTGCAGGGAGCTCTTGACAGGCTAAGAGCTCAGCAAAATGAGCAGGGGCAGGTCGAATCTGCGTCCCCATTCTCTCCCGAAGTGTTAGCCGCTCCACTCCCGCCAGGATTCAGGATGCCTGACATGCGGGCGTTTGATGGAAATTCCGATCCGCAGGATCATCTATATGAATTTAACGACTTGATGGAGCTTTACCAGGTCTCAATTTGGCAAAATACAACTGTTTGGCAGTGACGCTGACCTCCCATGCCAAACGATGGTTAAGGTCGCTCCCAGCGGGGTCGATCAGTTCGTGGCCTCAGATGAGCACGACAGTTCCTAAGGCATTTTCTAGCGAATCGAAAGTTTTCGATGCCTTTGAGCTAGCTTAGCAATATAAGGCAAGAAAGGGACGAATCCTTCCAGTCTTACATTGACCGTTTCCACAGAGAGCTCAACAAGGTGGCTCATACTCCCGAAGAGTCTGTTCGGACTCTCATCATAGCCGGAGTTCGCCCACAAACTGACCTGTGGAAAGAGTTACACGCTGAGGACGATGTCTCCCTCACAGGATTTTACAACCTTGTAGAGAAATACCTCTAAATAGAAAATTCGTTGGCGGCACTCTGTCGTCGTGACCCCAGCGCATCGAGCAGTATTTCTGGTCGGGGGGAAAGTAAGAGAGCTGATCGCAGAGGGGATGCTGACGATGATCAACGAAAAGGGAAGAAACCCCGCTACGAGCACAAAAAATCCTATGCTCCTGTTCCTCGTCGCGACTGCGACAGAGTTCAATATACTCCACTGAATGTGTCCGTATCGGCCATTCTTGATAAATCCGAGGAGGCCAGTCTTCTCGGTGAGCCAGAACCCATGAAAACTCATGGGACAGCCAGAAATAGCAAAAAATACTGTCGCTTCCATCGGGACAACGGGCATCATACCGATGAGTGCCGAGCTCTAAGACAAACAATCGAAGAGCTCATCAAGAAAGGGCACTTCAAGGAGTATATTGATGACTCTGCTCCCGCAAAAGAGAAGAGCCAAGAGGGGAAAGGGAGAAAGCGTCGTGATCGTAGAGGGGATAGTAGGGTTAACATAATCTTTGAAGGACCGCACCTCACGGGAAGCACGTAGACTGCGTAGGAAAGGTACACTCGCGAAGCTCATCACGACCCGATCAGGGTGATGAACACATCGCAGTGACCACAAAAGGCCCAAAAAGAGGAGCCGATCTCCTTCTACGAGAAGGAGGCAGCTCGTTTGCATCATCCTCACGACGATGCCCTTGTGATCACTCCCCTCATAGGGCACCATAATGTCCGCAGAATGCTCGTGGACAACGGAAGCGCTGTGAACATTCTGTTCCAGACCGCTTTCGAAAGAATGAACTTGGACAAGGCCGACCTGAAGCCCGCCTCGATCTCTCTTTATGGCTTTACAGGGGACCATCTGATCCCAAAGGAACGATCCAGCTCCCAGTCACGCAGGGTGACTACGATGAGGTGACTAAGGTAACTGAATTCTTGGTCGTGGATTGCCCATCGGCATTCAATGGAATCCTGGGGCGACCTCTATTGAGGAGTTTCAAGGCAGTCACTTCCATATACCATCTCAAGATGAAGTTCCCCACCCCAACGGGGATAAGGGAAGTGAACAGATCGCAAAGCGCATCTCGCGACTGCTACATAAAAGCGGTGTAGATGGCGTGTAAAGGAAAGGGCATTTCGCGATGTGTGCCTTGACATGCTATGGCGATCAGTCGGATCGAGCCACAGCCTAGCAGAGGATAATATAGATCCTCGAATTTAGGAAACCCCTCCAAGCGGCCCGGTTGGGGATTTGTCTAAGGTATCGATCGACCCGAAAGAGCCGAGCCGAGTGTTGAGGATTGGGAGAAATCTCAACCCCCAGCTCGCGTCCAAACTGGTAAGTTTCCTGATAGAAAACATCGATATGTTTGCCTAGTCGCACGTAAATATGGTCGGGATTAGCCCAAACATTATCTGCCATGCGTTAAACATCAACAGCGAAGCTAAGCCAGTTTGCTAGAAAAGAAGAGCAATGGATCCGGAAAGGTATGCCGCCTTGAAATTAGAAGTGGACAACCTCCTCCAAAATGGGTCCATCCGAGAGGCACTCTACCCGACCTGGGTTGCCAACCCGGCTCTGGTAAAAAAGCCAAATGGCAGGTGGCGAACCTGCGTCGACTTCAGCGACCTCAACAAGGCTTGCCCTAAAGACAGCTTCCCTCTGCCAAGGATTGACCAGCTCGTGGATGCCTCCTCGGGGCACGAGCTGCTAAGTTTCATGGACGCATACTCAGGATACAATCAAATTCTAATGTATGGGCCGGATGAGGAGCATACGTTCTTCATTATAGACCGAGGGCTGTATTGTTACAAAGTTATGCCTTTCGGCCTCAAGAACGCTGGCGCGACCTACCAGCAGTTGGTTAACCGAATGTTCTCTGACTAGATCGAAAAAACAATGGAGGTCTATGTGGATGACATGCTGGTCAAATCCCAGGTTGCCTCAGAGCACATTGCGCATCTAGCAGAGATGTTTGACATCCTCAGGCTATATAGAATGAAATTGAATCCTCTCAAGTGTTCATTCAGAGTATCGTCAAGAACATTCCTGGGGTACATGGTTAACCAGTGATGGGAATGCCTTGTGGGCATATAAGACTGCATATAAGACGCCCATTGGTATGTCACCTTTTCGTTTGGTGTTTGGGAAAGCATGCCATCTTCCAGTTGAGTTAGAACACAAGGCTTATTGGGCGATCAAGAGTTTTAACATGAAGATGGATGAAAGTGGAGAACATAGGAAGTTGCAAGTGCAAGAGTTAGAGGAAATTCGCAATGAGGCCTATGAGAATGCAAGGATTTACAAGGAAAAGACGAAGGCTTTTCATGACAGGATAGTCTCTAGGAAAGAGTTTAAAGTTGGTCAAAAAGTCCTTCTATACAATTCACGACTTCGTTTGTTTCCAGGTAAGTTGCGTTCTCGTTGGATTGGACCTTTTGTTGTTACTAATATTTTTCCTCATGGTGCAGTTGAAATTCAAAGTTTAGGAACTTCGAAAGTGTTCAAGGTGAATGGCCATAGACTTAAGACTTTCTATGAAGGTCTCCAAGAAGAAAATGTGGCAGGATTGGACCTTGAGGATCCGACTTATTCAGATTGAAGACGACAGCTTTGAGTCGAGCCAACGACAATAAACAAAGGCGCTGCTTGGGAGGCAACCCAAGGGGAGTTTGTTTTCTTTTCTAGCATTTTAAATTTTGGTTATTGTTGCCTTTTCTTTGCATTTCATCTTACATTGGGGACAATGTCAGTTTTAAGTGTGGGGGAGGGGATTTAGGTTTTGTTTAGGTTCTGTTTTTAGTGTTAAAAAAAAAAAAAAAAAAATAAATCTGCCTAGTTTAAGGGTATATCGGCTGGAAACCAGAACCCGCCTTAAAAACTGCCTAGCAGTACTTGGCAACCTCGGGTATAACAACGCCACGTACACCTTAAACGAAATCCGCATTTGTTTTTAGGAAGGTTTATGCTTTAAGTCATGTCTTTGAACGTCTAGTGATGCATGAAATAGTAACTTGACTTTGTTATTGAGCATATTCCTTGACTTAGGATGTTAGCAATCTTTCATAAAATAGAGTCAATCATATTTGAATCTTTGTAGTTTGAAATAATATGTCTTGAGAAGTTGTGTAGACTTGGTGACGAAGCATGATTGAGGAGTGTATAACAACCCTTAAAAGAAAAAAAAAAATATTGTTTCTCTTAAGCTAGTCCTAAATTTGGGTTTAAGCAAATAGGAAAAAGAAAAGAAAGGTATGTGGTGAGTCGAGATGGAGCGTAAAACGCACTCACTCATAAACACAACCATGAAATGAGATGGAGCATAAAATGCACTCATTCTTTTTCAAAACAGAAAAAAAAAAAAAAAAAAAAAAAAAAAATTTGTATCCTTAGTTTGCTACCCAGTTTGTAGTAGTAAAGAGAAACAGTAAAAGAAAAGTTGAGAGGGGAGTTGTACATGAATTGGTTGTGATTAGTTCCCTTGTTTGCATTGACTGATTAAGAGTAATTGTGGAAGATGATAAAGAGAGATGAATGTCATTAACTCTGTTTTATTTTATTTTGCTGCTTCCTAAGTTAGGTATGAATATGCATGGATTAAATATTGTTGCTTATGCATCATGCTGATGTTCTTGAGATGACTTGAGATGATGGTGTTCCTGATATGACTTGAGTGTAGGGTTTGTTTGAATTAGTTTGCCCGAGGACGTGCAAAAGCTAAGTGTGGGGGAATTTGATGGGAATGCAAAATGTCATATTTAACCCCCTTAATGTTTAGTCTTTTATATGTATTTGTTTCCTAATTGTACTCATTATTACTTTATTTTGGTTTAGGAAGCAAATGGAGGTGTTAATTGAAAAACGGAATTAATTAGGGGAATTCGGACAGTTTCGCCACTGCTTCGTATTCTGGGCATAATTCTCTCATCCGAGCTCCGATTGAGATGATTCAAAATGCTGTGGAACGCTAAGAAAGAGATCTACAACTTTCATGTTTTGAGTTTTTAGAGATACTGACTGAATAAAGGTTGTAATCGAGCTTGAAGTTGACGCACCTGCATTGCCGACGTCCTGGAGCGTTCTGACTTGTTATGCAAGTCAGTCTATTATTGCACGTTTTGAAGACATACATGCTGCACGAAAATTACAGCTGGAAACACCACCTTCCTATTTTATTAGGACTCTATTTTATTTTATTTCCAATTAGAATTAAATTAGGATTAATGTTATTTTAGGATAGGAGAATATTTCTTTTAGGAGATTGAGTGGGATTCGAATTCTAAAATTGGATTTTAAAAGGGAGATCAGATTAGGTTTTAAGGGACCACGCCTCTCTCTCTTTTCCTCTCTGGAATTTTCTTTCTCTTGAGTTTTTGTGATGGCCATGAGCGGCTAGAACTTTTGTAACTTGGTCGAAGGAAACGGAAACCTCGGAATCAAATAAACTGTGAGATCTTTCTGTTTTTAGTGTTAAATTCATGTTTGAGTATTGAATGTTATTCTGTGCATATTTTCATGATTGATGCATTTAATTACTAGGAGGCCTACTAGTGTATTATTTGTTGAAATCTACTGCTAAGTTTGATATCAAATCCGTAATTGTTTGATCCCTCCAACTTGTGAAGCAATTAGGGTTAGTAATTTGCTGCGTCAGGAATTAGTAACCTTACGAAGAACATTCAACTAAATTAAATACAACCGCTTGTGTTTGTGTTGTTTAGCTTCATCGATCTCTCTAATTCTTAAGGCTGCCACTAGATTAAATCTTGAGCGCTTGTCTAGGGTTGTTTAGTGGTAAGATTAATTAAGAGCGCTTGTTTCCTAATTAATTAAAATTAAGGAGAGATAGGAAAATAGTTCCAACGGTGAATATTCAATGTATGAATTGATTTTCTTTGCATCAATGATCAGTTGTGAGATTCCGATGGTGGATGTTGACGGAGACCAAGTTTCGTTATATTAATTGATTTCGAATTGAACTGTTTTTGTTTTTGGTTTTTGCTAAGAACGTTTCCTGTTTTACACAGAACCCCCCAGCCTTGTTCACATAACAGCAAATTCAGCTAGACACTCTTCGTGGGATCGACCCTGACTTACACTACTACGTGTATTTTTAGGTTTTAATTCTGGGTGCCTACGACAGCACGCCAACCAGCGAGGGATATAAATAAACCCCGAGAAGATTCAAGCTTTACTCGATCTAGCAAAAAACAGGTCATGTGTCTTAATGGGCGAATAGCGGCACTTAGTCGCTTCATATCGAGGTTAACAGATCGCTGCTTGTTGTTCTTCAATGTCCTAAAGGCCAACAAGAAGTTTGAGTGGACACCCGAGTGCGAACAGGCGTTCCAAAGCATAAAAAAACACCTCGGGAAACCACCTCTCCTGTCCAAGCCTTTTCCATAAGAAATCCTGCTCCTGTACCTGTCCGTCTCTCAGTTTGCAGTCAGTGCAACTCTGATTTGAGAAGAGGAAAAGGCACAATGGCCTGTGTATTATGCAAGCAAGCGTTTGACGGATGCCGAAATGCGGTATCCAGAGATGGAGCGATTAGCCTATGCCCTGCTGATCGCCTCCAGAAAGCTGCGACCTTACTTCCATGCCCATATTATCCATGTGATGACTAATTACCCACTCAGGCAAGTCCTTCAGAAACCAGAGGCATCGGGTAAATTACTCAAATGGGCCACGGAATTGAGCCAGTTCGATCTTAAGTACAAGCCAAGATCGACTATCAAGGGGCAGGTAGTTGCTGACTTCATCTTAGAATTTTCCTATCTTCCAAGTGAGCAACAACCTGGCGAAGCCATTCAGGAAAATATTCAGAACCTGTCGACCTGGAGCCTTTACATCGATGGGTCATCAAACAGGAAAAGGGCCGGTGCAGGTCTTCTCCTTGTGAGCCCCGAAGGGGCTTGCGTTCATGGCATTCTTCAGTTTGGATTTAAAGCAACCAACAATGAGGCCGAGTATGAAGCTCGGCTTGTCGGGTTGCAGTTGGCCAGAGAAATGGGTGCAACCACGATCAGTGTCTACATCGACTTCATGCTGGTCGTCAACCAAATTTTAGGAGAATATCAAGCCAAGGAAGAAAACATGGTCCGTTATCTGAAAGAAGCTAAGGCCGCACTCGAGCCGTTCAAGCATTTCGAAATTACTCAGATTCCCAGAGACAGCAACTCTGTGGCGAATGATAATCCGTGGATTATACAGTTTTCATTAGACTTTTTAATTGGATTTCAGGTACTTTCTAGTGCATTTTTACCTGAATTGTTGCTTAATTCTTGACATTTTGTGTTTCAGGTTAAAATGGATATTTTGAGCAAATAAGGGCAAAATTGGGAGTTTTTGACTAAGAAGGTAGCGGATCTCAGAAGTTAGGAGAGTTATAAAGTAGGATAGAGCACGATGAGGCTTGTTCCAAAGAGAGAGCACCGAGAATCGAAGAATCAAGTGAAGAAGCAAGCAGAGTAGCAGTTCTATAATTTCAGAACTTTTCAAGAAGCTTCGCCACGGCGAAGATTTGTACGTCGCTGTGGCGAAGTAGGCCAGAGACGAGCATGTCTGCTTCACTCTTCGCCGCGGCGACGGTCATTATTTTCAGTTTTGTTAAATGCACAGTTTTACTTTGTGCGTGTTTTGGCTGGGTAATTAGGGCGAGGTATAAAAGAAACACTTAGCCTTTTACCCAAGGAGTCTTCGTTTTTAGTTTAAGCAGTTTTTACATTTTCTTTGGCTGAGTTTTGAGCAATTTTGATTGTAACAAGGGTAAAGATTCGATTCTAACTAACGGATTCATCATTTGGGGAGATTTCTTATCTTTTATCTCATTTTCATTATGTTGAACTTGATTGATTTCATTTTTCGTTTTTGTATTGTTGATTTAGCCATGAACTAACCCATTTTGGGTTAGGGTTTTGATTGTAGTTTGCATTTTTAATGGGTTAAGTGTTTGATTGTTTTATATTCATATGAGTATGCTTTGGTCGTGTGTTTACTCTAAGTTTTAATGCTTTGTGTGATGAACATGATGAGATTGAGAAATGAATCATGTTAGGCTTCTTGGGTAATCACCATTATAGTATTGGATGCTAGAGATAGATTCAAGAATCAATGAAATCATTGTAGGATTCTTTTGCTTAATGAGTTTGGAATTGTTAACCTTCAAATTGTTGGGTGCGGAAGGTTAATAAGGATGAATAGGAAAACATAGCCCAAGAGGGTATGTTTAACACTTTAGTGAGTTTGATTTACAACCATTGCTTATGAATGTGAATGTAGTGTAATTTTTAGGTTTTACCCATAAAATCCTAATGAAGTTAAAACCCTACCCGTTTTACTTGAATTGATTATCCGTGTTTTCATATTGCATTCTTAGTTAAATTTTAGTTTAAAATTTATTGTTAAGTTTAATTAGAATTAGCTCCCATCAATCCAAAGATTTCGGTTACTCCAACTTGAAAACGGTAGAAAACTTATTGCTTAGCTAACAATCCTCGTGGGAACGATACTCTACTCATCATTTTATTACTTGTGCAACTAGTATACTTGCTACATATTGCATGTTGTAGGAAACACGCATCAGCGGACGCCCTGGCAAGG